ATCGAGAAGACTAAACACCCTTCATAGCATAAGATCAGGGTGCAAAATAGGAGTCTGAAGGGCACACCATTTTAGCAGTTATTAAAGGCGCATCATTTAGAAGGCAAAATATTAAAAGTATAGCAAAACAATATGGTAACTTCTGGGCATCAAGGCAACTGTAGTGGCACCGCGCAATTGCCTTTGATGCTTCGGTTATTTTGCACCCTGCATAAGATCTATGCCGGGTTTCACCCAGGCAAAATAAGGAGTGTTATTACCTGAATAACTCATATCTGCTCTGCCCCAATCTACCTTTGGATTAAATAAGGATTTCATGTGTTGTCTTCTGCACAGGTTATGGTCTCTTTGCAACCAGAGATTTCTCCAAAGCGATTTCTTATTGGAATATAGAGGGGTACACAGACCTGATACAGCTGCTGAAACAGATGATGTTGATAACACCTATGTGTTTGAGTACAGACATAATGGGAAAGATATGCTGTAAGTTTTTAAACTAATTTAAAGTAATCTTGTTATTATTATATAGCCAGTTGTTGATTCAACACAATTTCAGCATTGGGAGCTGCCAAGAGCCAATCTCAACAATCAATGATTTGCATTAAAATGTGTAGCTAATTAGGCAAATATCAACAATCAATGGTTTGCATCAAAATGTGTAGGCAAATGTGGATATATTACACATGAATTTAATGAGTGTGACTCTCCACTTTTGAATAATTGAAAGTTATTTTTCAATGCAAGGAGTAGCAGTTAGAAATCACCAGTGAAATGGATTCTACATCCTCACATTTGTTATTGATTATGAAGAACATCACAAATTCACTTGCATAGTGCATATAACTAACCATTGGTTAATTAATGGTTCAAGTTTCGGGTCAAGCAACTGTTTGAATTATGGTATACCATCTAGGTTTTGTGTTGCGATCGGTCAGTGGTTCAAAACCAAGATAGCGTGACCAATTGACCAGCAATGACACCTTTTGTAATGTGCACTACAACATTGAATACAAGAAATACTAAGGTCGACTTGTAAAATTTTTGTTGTTTTTTTGTTGACAGAACAACACTTTGTATGAGTTTTTCTTGTATTCAAGAGTAGTAAAACATAATAACCTGTGGTCCAGTGTTTTTACACAGTTTGGGTTTACTTAACTCACAAATGCTACATGTAAATCGAAATCAACTGGTATTAAACAAGGTTTCATTGTGTTTACCTGCTGATTAATGTTCTAAATAAGAGCATGTTAGAATCTGTGAATACCCCTTTAATAATTTTAAGAAAATCTATCAAAATTTACTTTCTTTCCTTATGTTTTGGTCAAAAGGATCGACGCCACATGCCCTAACTCCTGCCTTGCTCGATATATCAACGACTGCCACAAAAGACCCAACTCCATTATGAAGAAGTTCTCTCTCTCAGGAATGATACATCTCTGCTTGTATACTTTATCCAATATCAAAATTGGAGAAGAAATCAGGTACGACTATGGGATGCTGGATATGCCATGGCGACAGGTACCGGTATGTACCATTTCTTTCTAATTTGTATCTTATACTTAGACACATAGGCTATCCTTCATCTAATTCATCTTCATCTGTACGTAGCGACAGGTTTATACCATTAATTAGAATGGTCCTTATAATAATTGGGCAGTGTTATTATTAATGTCATGTTTAAGGATATTCCCTGAGTTGGACCACCTCTTAATGACATACATGTAGTAGATATGCCCAAGAAAACCTCATTTCCAAAATGTCAGTTATGCATTAGTGTGTGCATTACATTGCTCCATATCCTACAGCGTGTTTTCTCTCGGGTCCAAGAGAAACTCAAACATGGTGATGTTCTGTCGCTATAGAATTGTCAAAATTCTAATTGTCTATATAACTCTAAAAGTCTTGTTTTAGCTCATCCGGCCCAAAGGGCCCGATGAGCTTATGCCATGGCGTGGCGTCCGTCGTCCGTTCGTCCGTCCGTCTACAGTTTTCAAAATGCTTCTTCTTCGTTATTTTTCAACCGATTTTGATTCTGATTGTTTCATATGATAGGGCTAGGACGGGAATTTAAAAATTCGACACAGAATCGTCAAATTCATTATCTATGCTAATTTATGCAAATTGATTCGAAATCACAAAAAATGCTTCTTCTCCTTCATTTCTCGACCGATTTTGATTTGGTTTGCTTTATCTGGTAGAGCTAACTTTGGTACACTAAATTTCTACACAGAATTTTGAAATTGTTCTCCATTAATTAATTATGGTAATTTATGCAAATTTATTCCAAAAATAACAAAAATTGCTTCTCCCTCATTTCTTGACCGATTTTGATTTGGTTTGCCTTATTTGGTAGAGCTAAATTTGGAACACTAAAATTATACACAGAATTTTGAAATTGTTCTCCATTAATTAATTATGGTAATTTATGCAAATTTATTCCAAAAATAACAAAAATTGCTTCTCCTTCATATTTCGACCGATTTTGATTTGGTTTGCTTTATATCGTAGAGCTAACTTTGGTACACTAAACTTCTACACAGAATTTTGAAATTGTTCTCCATTAATATTTATGGTAATTTATGCAAATTTATTCCAAAAATAACAAAAATTGCTTCTTCTCCCTCATTTCTTGACCGATTTTGATTTGGTTTGCCAAATTTATTCCAAAAATAATTTAAAAATCACAAACCCTTCCAGGGCATCAAATTTTTATTTTTTGACCAGTTCAAAAGTGTACCACATAAAATTTATGATATTTGTTGTTGCGAGATGCGGATGAGCGCTACATCATTGACGTTCTGGTTATTGAATTTGCAACGTAATTAGCCAAAAATAATCTATAAACTTTTCACCTGACCCTCCCTGCAAGATATGTGATCAAAGCCCAAATGTCATGAAAAAGGGGAAAATGCGATGTACAATGTGAATTGTGAAACCTTTTTATAAAACAAAATCTGTTGACACAAAAACCCTGATAGCACAAAGTAAATATCTGGCCGAACCATGTATTTTGTATGCAATTTTAAGTGGATAACACAAAATCCTTATAACACAAACAAAATATTGTGGTCCTACTGATTTTGTGTTAAAGAAGTTCCGCTCCGAGGTTCAGCTGTATCATGTTTACATGTCCTACCTTTGTATGATGCTGAATTATATTTCTTGGATTCTTTAAAAAATCGGTTAAAAATGAGAAGGTGCAAGCCAAAAACGACTTGCGAGGCCAAGGTGGGATAGGAGAGTACGTTAATTGACCCCGGGCTCAAGTAAATTCTATTTCTGCTCATTTTGATAATTTAAAAATCAATTTAAGATCTTTAGATGCCCTGTCTCATAGATTAGTGGTAAATAAAGGTACCTTGACAGTTAAAAATAAATGTCATGTTTTAGCTCGATTTTGTGTAAAAGAGATTCCACTGTACGACAAAAAATCAGTTTAAATATGTTAAAGGGGGGTGCCAACGTTCAAAGTGTGCAAAACATTATGCAAAGATCATGAAAGTACAATTTTTGGGGAAAGGAAAGAAGTCATAAGTTCCATATCTGACCTCAAATTTGACCAAAAGTGCTGCTCAATAGTTAACAGGAAAGCTACGCAATTTATTGGTCAGAATTACCACAACTTGGTCAAAATTGTGGTCATTCTTACCTACCGTTAGTTTGTAGATTCTTCATCTTGATATTTTTATGTAAGTTTTTTTTTTTTTATTGTGACCAAAAGTGCCAAAATCTGCCTTTTGTCGCACTTTTTGGTTTAAAAAAAAATAAAACTTTTATTATCCCCTCGCCGACGAAGTCGGAGGGGATATAGTAACGCTGCCGTCCGTCCTTCCTTCCATGCGTGCGTCCGTCCGTGCGTGCGTCCGTTCGTAACAAATTTGGTTTCCGATCGATAACTTCAGTAATGTTTGACAAATTTTAATGGAATTTGATATGAAGGTACATGATATCAAAATACAGGCTAAGTTCGATTTCGGAGTATGTACCTAGGTCAAAGGTCATAGCTCATTAAATATGCAAATCTGGTTTCCATTCGATAACTTGAGTAATGTTTGACGAATTTTAATGAAATTTGATATGAAGGTTCATGGTATTAAAACAAAGTCTAAGTTCGATTTCGGAGTATGTAGGTCAAAGGTCATAGCTCATTAAATATGCAAATCTGGTTTCCATTCGATAACTTGAGTAATGTTTGACGGATTTTAATGAAATTTGATATGAAGGTACATGGTATCAAAATACATGTACAGCCTAATTTCGATTTCTGAGTATGTAGGTCAAAGGTGAAAGGTCATAGCTCATTAAATATGCAAAAACACCTACCGGTAATTATATATGTGAAAATCCTTGCCTAGAAATATAATAATATAGTCCAATGGAGGTAACTTGTTCTGACGTATATAGGCCATTTGTACCCTGCGAGGGATGCTACGCTTTGCGTTGACTTGTTTAAAAATGAATCTCATCTTACTACAGAATCAAAGTTTTATGTCTTTGATTGAGTTTGGAATTACACACCATGGATAGTGGCAATTGGCCATTGTAGTGGCATTCAAATTTAGCGATTTGTTAATATTACCAATTGATGTTCGAAAATGCATTTTAAAAAAATTGTGAATTGTCTTGCTCGCGAAATTGAAATGCATGCAAAACTTTTGCATATTATGGCTAATTCTTAATTTCTAAACTCATGAATTGTTTCCGTTTCCGATAATTTCAGGTGGGAGTTCTGGATGCTGCACCATCTGGCTCAAATGTTCACTGGACCGGTGATGACGACACTCCTGTCGCATCTGAACCATCTGGAGATGACAACACTCCTGTCGCATCTGAACCATCTGGAGATGACAACACTCCTGTCGCATCTGAACCATCTGGAGATGACGACACTCCTGTCGCATCTGAACCATCTGGAGATGACGACACTCCTGTCGCATCTGAACCATCTGGAGATGACAACACTCCTGTCGCATCTGAACCATCTGGAGATGACAACACTCCTGTCGCATCTGAACCATCTGGAGATGACGACACTCCTGTCGCATCTGAACCATCTGGAGATGACGACACTCCTGTCGCATCTGAACCATCTGGAGATGACGACACTCCTGTCGCATCTGAACCATCTGGAGATGACGACACTCCTGTCGCATCTGAACCATCTGGAGATGACGACACTCCTATCGCATCTGAACCATCTGGAGATGGCGACACTCCTGTCGCATCTGAACCATCTGGAGATGACGTCACTCCTGTCGCATCTGAACCATCTGGAGATGACAACACTCCTGTCGCATCTGAACCATCTGGAGATGACGACACTCCTGTCGCATCTGAACCATCTGGAGATGACGACACTCCTGTCGCATCTGAACCATCTGGAGATGACGACACTCCTGTCGCATCTGAACCATCTGGAGATGATTCCGATAGTGATTATGAAGCCGAATCTGATCCAGAAGGTAGTAGCAGTGATGAGGCTGATTTCATTCCATTTCGGTTTGTACGTGGACGTCAAAGTAACTCTGTGGCAGTTTCTGTCAGTGATAATAAGGAGAGTGAAGCCATGCCTGTTGACCATTCAGTACCTAATACCTCACCTGCCCATGCCTCTGCAAGTGTTCAAAGTGCAAAAGTCTCAAGCTCCAGTTGCAGTATTAATGTGATGACCACTTCAAACAACAACTGTAGAAAGTGGGACAAACCTCAGTACTGTAAATTTTGTAGTCAACCACAAAAGAAACTGCCGAGGCATCTGCTTACACCACAACATGTCAACGAGACTGAGGTTCAGCAATGGATTGCAACTAAAGACATGAAAGAAAAGGCAAACTTGCTAGCTAAAATGAGAAATTACGGAAACTATCGTCACAATGTCAAAGTCCTTCAAGAAAATAAAGGTACCTTGATTGTTGCATACAGACCGAAATATGATGTGGATCCAGAAGAATATTTGCCATGTAGTCATTGTTATGCTTTCTATTCCAAGGATGATTTGTACAGGCATGTTCATAGATGTAAATTGCGACCAGATGTTGAGGATGAGGATGAGACCTGTGAACCACCCAAGAAGAAAAAAAGAACCTTACATGTTCAAACTGGTAGAATGATGCTTCCAGGCCCATCAGGAGTAAGCCCAAAGGTGCACATGATATTATCAATGGGAGTCGATGATGAAATATTGAGAGTTGTGAAATCAGATAGATTAATGCAGCAAGTAGCAGAGAGGCTGACATTGAAGCATGGGCATGACAAAGACCAGTATTCATATATACGGCAAAAATTGCGTGAACTTGCACGACTGGTTCGTGAGTACAGAAAATTGAATGATCACCCATCGGCTTCATTAGTAGATTTGATTTGTCCTACCAAATTTAATGAGGTCATAGCTGCAACTAGGAAGGCTGCAGGATTTAATGAGGATACACATTTGTACACAACACCTAGCCTGGCACTGAAAGTCGGATATACACTGGTGACGGCTGCCAAAGTCCTTATGGGAAATGCTCTGTTGCAAGCAGATGCTGGTTTGGAAAAGAAATGCAAACAGTTCATCAAATCATATACTCTCAAGTGGGAAGCAGAAGTAAGCACACATGCACTGCGTACATTAAAAGTAAACAAGAGAAATACATCAAGGCTGCTTCCTTTGACAACAGATGTTGTTGCACTGTCCAATTATGTGAGAAAAGAAACAAAAGAGGGAAAACAGAAGCTGAACAGCTGCAGTAGTGATGAGACCCTTGACAGATGGAAACAGTTGGCTGAGGTTACCCTGACCCAGGTGTGTGTTTTCAACAGGAAGCGTCCGGGAGAAGTTTCAAAGATGCCCCTCAGTGATTACAAGTGTATCACAAAAGGAGAAGGTGGAATATTTGGTGAAGGCCTAACCAAATGGGAAAAGGCGTTGTGCAATGTGGTATGGAGGGTGGAGATTAATGGGAAATGCAATAACACTGTACCCGTTTTGCTAACAGATGACATGAAAGGCAGCATTGACTTGTTGATGGAGAAAAGGTCACAAGTAGTCAATGATGGAAATCCCTACTTGTTTGCAAACCCCGATGGAAGAGGCCACTTGAGAGCAACTGATACAGTGCGAAATCATGCCCAAAAGTGTGGAGCAAAGTATCCAGATCAGCTTAGATTGACAAAACTCAGGAAGCACATTGCTATCAGCTCTCAGATCATGAATTTGAAGGATAATGAAGTGGACATTTTAGCCACCTTCATGGGCCATGACATAAGAACCCACAGAGCCTACTACCGCCTGCCAGATGCGTCACTGCAAGTAGCAAAGATTTCTAAAGTACTCTTCAGCATGGAGAAGGGAGACCTAAAGGCAATGGCAGGAAAGACGTTGGATGATGTTCGTGTAGATGCAGATGAAGGTATGACTATTTTTTATGTTTTGTGCTAGATAGAATGGCTGAGAATATGCCATACCATTTTCATTTCCTTCTACTTTTATCTAAAGTGATATCTGATTGGTTAGTGAGATCATAACGGTTTCTAGTTTGAGATTACATTAGGCCAGAAAACTTTTATGTTACATCTCAATCATTCATTTCACTCTCATACAACACAGTTTTTATATTGTATAATTTCCTTAGTTTTGTATGCTTGCTATATCCTTCAGTTTGTGAAGTTCCATGCTTTTGGTAAGCAAACTGGGATGTCTTCATTAGTACCTCCAGTTTTAATAAGAATTGATCCGAGATACAATATATGGGAAGCTGCCAACATTTCAAATACTTGAATATGTGATTTGATTTTTGTGTCGCCTTACTGAACGTTCATGGTGGCACATACTAATCCAAATTATCTATGTCCGTCTTTCCATTAACCGATTCGGTTAACGTTTTCGGTTAACCCTTCTAAAAATGCTCCGCAGGCTAAACGCTATGCTTGATTTACTCCAAAACTTGGTAGGATGATCCGCAGGTTAAACGCTATGCCCGATTTACTTCTAACTTGGTAGGGTGATAGAGTGAGGTGCCACAATATCATGTGTTGCTTTGAGCTGTATTATTTGCATATTCATGAATTTCAATTAGCTTATTTGCAATGCAATTTAGGTTAACCTTAAAAAAAATGCTCTGCAGGCTAAACGCTATACCTGATTCATTTGAAACCTGGTAGGGTGACAGACTGAGGTGCCAAGATGTTGTGTGATGCTTTTCATTGCATTATTTGCATAATCATGACATTTAATGAGCTAATTTGCATATTTTGATATATTTTGGATACTCATGTGTTTTAAAAAAATGATGACACTTGCAGAATTGTCTCTCTAAATACACTTTGTATTGAAGAGTAGTTGTGGTACCAGCTGTGCTGTTTACATGAAAAGCAAAACAGGGATGACTATCCACAGCTGTCTGCTATGAACTTACCCTTGCAAAGATTATAATGTACATGTATGTTATTTTTCACCTGCTCTTGTTAAATCTGTGTTTGTTTTTTGTTTTTCAGAATGCAACATAGATCCAGATGTTGATGATGATCCTGACAACGAAGTGAACAGGCCCGATGATGCTGTTTTGATGGATGAGATGTCAGACAAAGAAAATGAAGGTGTGAATGAATTACTTTGTTATATCCTTTGTTAGGCCTCCGTTACGAAGTAGCCGGAGGCATTATGTTTTCGGGTTGTCCGTCCGTCCGTCCGTCCGTCCCGTTCTCGTGATCGCGTTATCTGAAGAACCGATTGATGGATTCCTGCCAAACTTTGGTCATGTATGTATCTTGCAGAGCCGATGGACTGATAAGATTTTGGGGTCACAAGGTCAAAGGTCAAAGGTCACAGGGCTCATTATGTATGAAAAACAGCTCGTGATCGCGTTATCTCAAGAACCGATTGATGGATTCCTGCCAAACTTAGGTCATGTATGTATCTTGCAGAGCCAATGAACTGAGTAGATTTATGGGTCATGAGGTCAAAGGTCAAATGTCATGGGCTCATTATGTATGCAAAAACAGCTTTATCATTAGAACTGACAGATGGATTACTATTTAATTCAGGACATCTTGCAGAGCCAATGAACTGAGTAGATTTTAGGGTCATGAGGTCAAAGATCAAAGGGTCATATATGTATATGAGAAATTGCTTGTAATCACGATATTCTGAGAACCTGTTAATGGATTACAATGAAATTCGAATTTGAAAAATTTCTTCTGTTTTGGTTTGTAAACTTGCTCTATGACGGAGGCATCATTTTCGAATGCGCGCAGTCGAAGTTCCATCTAGTTTATCCTTACTTTGATTATTCCAGATGCCCTCAACAGGTGATTATCCTTGTGTCACTATTTGAATTTTAGCATTCGCTTAGTTTGAATTCTGGCTAAATGGCACTCCTAATGCAGACAGCTTTAAATGAAGAACTAGCTAAAAGTAATGTAAATTGTAACTTTAAAAAAAAAATCAAAATATAACCATTCCACTCTTCTCTCAGCTACCATCTTCTGCATTTGGTTAAGTTTTTTAAAATCTGTCATTGAACCTGAAACATTAATTGTGTTTCCCTACTTATTTGTCTAATTCACTATTAAAGGTATGAGCATGCCGCAGCAAAGCAGAAAGAAGAGTGACCAAGTTGCAAACAAGGAAAGTGACCGTGGTGCCAGCAGAAAGAAAAGGAGTATCAGACAATCTTGGACAGCTGAAGAAAAACAAGCAATACACAGACACTTTAAAGAAGAACTACGCTCACGCCAACTGCCCGGTAAAGAAAAAATAATGAAGTACTGCAAGATGGATGCAGACCTGAAGGGTCGTACTAAAAGGTGGACAACAGTCAAAGATTTCATTAGAAACCAAATTAGAAAGACAAATCCACTGGATTTTTAGTGAATTTTCAACCTGTTATGAGTGAAATTAATCATGTTCATCACACTCCGCAATTTTGGATGAAATCTTTTCAGGTACTGACATGCGTAAAATGTGGTTGCTTCTTATTCATATAACCCACTTACTGGTTTCCTTGATGAAGGGCTGTGCTTTGGAAGAGGTGCACCTTTATATAGGTTAACAGTTAACTCCATGGCCAGGAAGCATACTGTGTGTAAAGCAGTGTATGGTTCTGCAAGTCAAATGGGAACTTAATAGGAAAAACTTAATTACCTGCCCAGTTGGTCAGGGCCAGGGAGTAGACTTGTGTCTAACAGTATGTATACTGTATAGAAGATTGTAAGGCAAATGGGAACTTTTGTGCTAAAGTTGTTTGATAAGCCCCAGTTTGCCAGGTTAACGTTTTGCAGTTTAAATGATGACTTACAGGTCAATTTTATCAGCTCCCATATCACCAGATGGTCAACGTCAGTGAGCATCACATGTGTAACAATGTGCATAAAGGTTTACAGGTCAAACTCCAACTTTGCTCACTTCCCCTAGATTAGGTTCATGGTTGATAGGACTCGTGATAGGACTAGATGTATAATGTTTTCCATATCAACTGGGAATTAAGAGCCAACTGTGATCAGGTCCTCAGTTGGCTTAGACCATGACAAGGAAGCATCCACATGTGTACACTATGTAAAATAAAGTTTGCAGGTCAAATAGGGACTTTAGGCCAACTTTGCTTGGCTCCCCAGTTAAATAGGCCAGTATGTAATGTTTTGCAATCAACTAGTGACTTATGGGCAATTTTGATCAGGTCCTCAGTTGGCTTGGGTCCGATTACCAGGAAGCATCCGCATGTGTACATTGTGTGAAAGTTAAGTTTGTAGGTCAAATGGGCACTTTTGGTCAACTTTACTTGGCTCACCAGTTGATCAGGGCCATGATGACTCGTCAAAGGACCGCTATGTATAATGTTTGGATTTAAGAGCCAACTGTGATGATCGAGGTCCTCAGTTGGCTAGTTCCAGCTGATGAGGAAGCATCCACATTGTGTAAACTAAAGTTTGCACGTCAAATGGGGACTTATGGCTAACTTGACTCGTCAAAGGCCCGCTACTTGCAAAATTTAGATTTTTAAGTACATTGCAGATCAAATGGGACATAGCTACCACCTTTGATCCTCAATTAGTCAAGGCCAGGTGAAGTCCCATGAAATTGAAAATTGTGTAAAAAGTAACATGTCTAATTTTGATTTATGAGACAACTTGGTTAGCAGTTGGGTTTTGACTGTTGGTCAATTACCATGGACCTTTGGCCTTTATTAGACTTTATAAATATCTCACCACTCTTGTCCAATTTCATCTAAGTTTGGACCCTTTTTTTCAAAAAAATCATCAAAAAGTAGACCATTTGCCCCTTTTGTGAAATTTAATCAGGTCCTCGCACTCAGCTATTGGGTAGGGCCAGATAACCATTAAAGCATAATCATGTGTTCAATGTGTTTCTATTAAGTTATGTCTGCAGATCAAATGGGACTTTGTACCATCTATGATCAGATCCCCAGTTAGTCAAGGCCAAATTGTGAATAAAGTTTTACAGATCAAATGTGGACTCAAAGCTTGCCAGCTTCGATAATTTTCCAGTTGCAGTCAATTATCAGGGAGCATTGACCAATGTGTAACAGTTTGTATAAAGATTTGCAGGGTAAGTGGGGTATATTTCTGCGACAAACTATGATCAGCTTCTGAGCCAAGAACATTGTTTATTTAAGGATGCACTCAGCAACATGCTTTATGCAGTATAGTTCATCTCGTATGTAACTCAAAAACTATTGATGGGAAGTGTATAAAGGTATACATTTTCTGGCTGAAAATGACCTGTTAAATCCATTGAACACATACAATTTGGACAACAATTTATCATTTTTTTTACCCATTTTTTTCGACCACCATAAATAAAATATCCTTGCAACAAAAAATTATTTTCCTAGTGTCCAAAATATAACTCACAATGTACCAAAAATATAATAACCAAGTTTGAACTTATGAGTTGTGGGCTATAAAAAAAGTTCTAGGGCCTAATTACAAAAAAACGTTACTAGATTTTAGTAGGTACAATGTATTCTGTATGAAATCTTAAATCAGAAATGTTTTATTTTTGAGTCCTGAGGGTTCAAAACTCATATAAACTATTAAAAATGAAATGGCTGAAATTATGATTTTATGCAGAAACATGGATTTTCAGTTGCATTTTCAATCTCATCTTGAAAACCCCAAGATCCTGTGTCTCGATCCTGACTTTGGTATACGGTTGCCGACAATATGCTGCATCCGATGGTACATTAGACATTTTTTCCAATTGAATTTATATGGATTTGAGAGTAAACGTCCACATGGTCTCACCATCTGTTTACATTGCTTGCTGTTTCCATGGGCGTTGTGTCACGTAGATAGATTGCGCGGATATTGCACATCGTGTTGCAATGTGACGGGACACGTAGCATGCATCGCATAAACGGACACTGTCATTTTGCGTTAAAAAAGGTTTCATCTGTAGTTTTGTTAGATTTTAAACCTGAAAAGGGTCCACAAAACAGTTTTTGATGGTTCAATGTTTATATTAGCATCACAGAATTTACTGACATGATGGAACAGAGTTTGAAGATAGCAATAAAAAAAAAATCATTTAAGGGTATGGCAAACTTTGACGTTGCTGGGTGCATCCTTAAGTTGTAGGTAATTACATGTTTTAAGATGTTAAAAGTTGTGTAGATCAAATGGGGACTTTGCAGGCCAACCTTGATTATTACCTCCCGGCTGGTCGTCCTAGGAATTGAATAGCCCATGTATAAAGGTTTTCAGCTTAAACGGGGACATATGATGCTCACTTGTGTTGACCCAGCTGGGGAGATAATAAGAGTTAGCCCCAAAGTCCCTTTGCAAACATGAGATGCTCCATTGCATTTCTCCAATCTGTGATCTGATCAAACTTGTTAAGGTACTATGCCCATTCAAGTTTGATATCTCCTCATTTGGCTGGGATCAGAAGCATCTTCGTTCCTGTACTGTGTAGAGTAGCAACTCATTTACACAAAGTTGGTGGGGGTTTGGATTTAGGTTTGTGTTATCAGGATAGAATGAAATTTACAAGAACACCTTGGAAATTGAATTCCTCTTTGTATTATTTGGAACTTTGTGTTAAGAAAAGGGTTTGCAAGAACGAGTTGCCACTGTATGAGGTAATTTGTTGGTCAAACAGCGACTTATGGGTCAGCTTTGATAAGCTACAGAGTTGGTCACCTCCAATCTTGCATATACCATTGAGTGTATTCAATTTTTCATCCAGTGTTGTTTTGAACAGTTTTATAGTTTTACATATGTATGTACACAATCTATATAAAGTTCTGAAATGGATAGTGCATGCAAGAGTGTTTTGTTCATATATGAAAATGTGACATATTACAAATTTACCCTTGGTTCAGTTTGTTGTTATGAATTTCTGATGTTTGTGTTTGTTTTTGTTTTTTGTAAAGAGTGAGTTAAATGTCTTAACAAGACATGTTCTCATGCAATGCAATCAATGCAATCAATTGTTAATCTTTTCCTGTTATGTGGAAAAAAATGTGTATGCTTTAAGTAATGAATACCCTTTGTTTCATCACAACTTCTGTAGTGACATCACCTGCAAAGAACACTTTTTCTGGGTTTGAATTCCAAGCGTGATGACCACCGCCAATTATAAGTGTGGGTTCTGCTTCTAAAGGAACATTAAAAAAATAGTTTTTATTGAATTGAATCTTGTCTTCCTGATGATTTATAAAATATTTTAGATGGGAATCTGTAGATGAGTTATACAACAAATGATAAATGTTTTATTCATCGGATAGAATATTTTCATTTTAGTGGAAGATTGGCCGTTCCGCCAGCTCCTGGTATGGTGCAACTAATCTTTCACCTCATGAAAATATTCTTACCAGAGCACTCTCAAATTATATGTATAACATTTTGTTATTTGATGTAGCTAGTATGAGCAATGTTGTAATACATTTGTTAGTTGTGTATTAAAATGTAACCACTAGCCTGTATTAAACAGTATATCATATTATAATAGTTAGATCAGGTATATACAGTTTACAATTCACCGTTCATAGTGTACATGTTAAAAAAGTTGATTGTTCAGTATCATTGCAGTTAAATGCTGGTTGACCAAAATTTGTGGAATGGCTGGTATTTCAGAAAAGGAGTTGAAACAGAAGGTCAGGTTTATCATTGAAGAAATATTATTTGGGCAAAAGCTGTTTTATATCAAATTCATTCTAAAAATAAATCATGTTTTGTATTATAGGTATACCTACACTACATTGTACATTACTCTGTATTTTACCAAAACGTCTGTAGTGACAAGCTACAGAGTTGGTCAACTCCAATCTTGCATATACCATTGAGTGTATTCAATTTTTCATCCAGTGTTGTTTTGAACAGTTTTATAGTTTTACATACATGTACACAATCTATATAGAGTTCTGAAATGGATAGTGCATGCAAGAGTGTTTTGTTCATATATGAAAATGTGACATATTACAAATTTACCCTTGGTTCAGTTTGTTGTTATGAATTTCTGATGTTTGTGTTTGTTTTTGTTTTTTGTAAAGAGTGAGTTAAATGTCTTGACAAGACATGTTCTCATGCAATGCAATCAATTGTTAATCTTTTCCTGTTATGTGGAAAAAAATGTGTATGCTTTAAGTAATGAATACCCTTTGTTTCATCACAACTTCTGTAGTGACATCACCTGTCAGGTTTATCATTGAAGAAATATTATTTGGGCAAAAGCTGTTTTATATCAAATTCATTCTAAAAATAAATCATGTTTTGTATTATAGGTATACCTACACTACATTGTACATTACTCTGTATTTTACCAAAATGTCTGTAGTGACATCACATGCTTTTCGTGCGTGCTTCATGATCGTTAAGATAAGGTGATTGAATAGGCATGGACAGGTTGATACGCTTGGAACGCAAACTAGTTGACGTCACTACAAATGTTTTGTGAAACAAAGGGTATTGTCGTCGTATTCAAATTTGAATTTAGATTCTCTGTAGGGCCCACCAGTGGGAATAGCCCAGCACCCATAGACAGTCAAAATGAAGAATGATGTGCAAAACTATAATGCTGGTTGAAGAGATGAATGATCACTATGTCTGGTTTGTCGTCTACGTCGGACTATAACCCAACTCCATGGACAATGTGACCTATTATCTGACATGAAAGTGATAATTTAAAATGTCTATATGTAGTCCATTTTCCAACAGTTTTGTTTGACTGTATTTCTTTGCCCAATACTTTTGTACAAAGAAGACAAGATTAGCACAAAAGTGATGTATTGGTCATGTTTTGATGTTACTATCCATCCACTAAAATGTAATGTTTATATGTTCATAACATATCACTTTGTAACCCGAGTTCTATACAAAAATGAAATGGATTATGGAATTCGGAATCCTGGGTTCAGAACACAAATATGCTGATACTTTCCACTTGCTTTTATTAACAAATGTAACTTTCATTCTTTAAATTAAGATCTTGATTAAAGAGACACGGGCATATTTGGGAAATATTTGTCCAACTCTGATATTTCTGTTGCGATCTTATTTTGATGTACACATCTTGACTGCCCAGCACGCCATTCCAAAGTGGATATTTTCAAAGCAGATACTAATGCCCTCGCTGGGACTGAAGGTTTTTGTAGGGATTTTAAATAAAATGTTATTATTCAGATCCATATTCATGCCGCCTTTAAAAGCAAAATCACCACTTACGATTTTTTTTTTTTTTTAACAGCTTGAAGCGAAATACATTAGTTTTTATCATGTCAGATTTCAATTTTGTAACATCTAAACATGAAAATTAAGGTTTTGCAAAAACGCTATTCAGAAGCTTAGTACTCAAACTCTTTCTTGTGTATACCAAATTATGATAGAGGTAAATATTAATGTTATGTAGTTTGCTACTCCAATTTCAATATTGCAACACCATGATTCACTTTTATATGGGAATTTTTGTTTTTAAAGGTCACTGGGGGCTGATTTCACTGCAAAAGAAGGCATGAATATGGGTCTAAACAATCCCCAAGTTGCGAGTAACTCCTCTCCTACCATACCTGTATAACAGCCCACCTATGTGTTCGTTGTCCTCTGAACTGAGATGTATCATGTTTTGTTGGAACCTTGTTTTATAAGCCTTATTTTTTCAAAGTTGTCTTTAATAATAAAAACAGTTTTGCTGTATTTGAAAGGCATGTCGAAGTATTTTATTTTATATTAAAGGGGCATCTCATGTTTTTATGATTTTATTCCGGCTTATCTTGATACTCCACCATGTGAATGAAACAAGGTCGTAACTGACATTTTGGGCACAAATTAGTTTTCTTTTTATTTTGAAAGAATTAAATATTCATTTTTTAAATTAGACTTCAAGTCTCAAATTTAAACAGTTTTATTTTATAAAAGAAAGAAGATGGTAAGAGACAAAGAAAACAAAGTTGAACACAAAATGGCTTCTCCCGCAAAATGAAGAAAATGTAGATACGACCTTTGTTGCATGCACATGATGACTTATAAGTTTGCAAATGGTTGGTTTTTGACATATTCACCTGAAAAACAACAATATGGTAATAAGACTATCTTGGAAACACTTAGGAGGCATTAGATAGGATTTTTAGATAGGGTTTTTGCAAGTTTGTTCGTCAATCTGATAAATCTTCAGAAAACCTGTTACACTATGTTTAAGCATGATACACTCGCCAATTATACGATTTACTGGATTGATACAGCTATATTCACTATTAGTTATTTGATTTGAGAAATTTATTATGAAATGATTTCGTTCTGTGAACGGAAAGAAATTAAAATGTTCATACATTTTAGGATTTCTATCGTGAACATGTAGATCTGCAGAACAGGTGGCGAAGGTTTCAGATGGCATCAAAATCTGGGGTGGTTTTGTATAAATCCGGGGGGGGGGGAATGTTGTGGATCACGAAATGCCCCTTTAAATGTCTTTGAGTTGAAACATTTGAACTTGTCAATGAAGCAGCTGTGCTGTGCTATGTCCCGACCCTTTGAACCATAATGTAGGCACCCTTTTTCACCTGACAGTTATTATATTTAAAATGAAGACTTATAAGGAGAAGAAGTACCCGATTCACAAAATACTAGTTCATTTTGGAAAATGGCGTCGTAAACAAATTACCACCACGTTTAAATTTGTCATGACCTGTTTTCATGCACTCCACATACCTACTGTAAATTTCAGCTCTGATGACAAAATGAATGTGGTGTTTTGTTTTGTTTTCGGCCCCGGCTGGTTGGTGATGTAGCACTAGACGCATGAAAAGTGGGTTAAATACACCCTGAAATAAAGAAGTCCACGTTTTGACAGGAAGAAAAGCAGGTCCACGTTTTCATGTAGGGGTCAAGCGTTACCCAAGGTCCACAGTTCACAACATCGAGCCCTCGGTTACATTAAAGTCCACAGTAATTTTGTACTATTGAATCAGAAAGAGATTTAAACATGTTACTAAAAGGAATTCCTTTTTTTTCCAAACGAAGTTTTTAAATGAGAAATTTTGTACTAGTCATTTCCAAGTCAACATTATCAAAATACACCCTGAAATAAAGAAGTCCACGTTTTGACAGGAAGAAAAGCAGGTCCACGTTTTCATGTAGGGGACAAGCGTTCCCCAAAGCCCACAGTTCACCACATCGAGCCCTCGGTTACATTAAAGTCCACATTAATTTTGTAATATTGAAATCGGGAAGAGATTTAAACATGTTACTAAAGGGAATTCCTTTTTTTTTTCCAAATGAAGTTTTTAAATGAGAAATTTTGTACTAGTCATTTCCAAGTCAACATAAAAAAACACCCTAAAATAAAGAAGTCCACGTTTTGACAGGAAGAAAAGCAGGTCCACGTTTTCATGTAGGGGACAAGCGTTCCCCAAAGTCCACAGTTCACCACATCGAGCCCTCGGTTACATTAAAGTCCACATTAATTTTGTAATATTGAAATCGGGAAGAGATTTAAACATGTTACTAAAAGGAATTCCTTTTTTTTTCAAAATGAAGTTTTTAAACGAGAAATTTGTACTAGTCATTTCCAAGTCAACATTATCAAAATACACCCTGAAATAAAGAAGTCCACGTTTTGACAGGAAGAAAAGCAGGTCCACGTTTTCATGTAGGGGTCAAGCGTTACCCAAAGTCCACAGTTCACAACATCGAGCCCTCGGTTACATTGAAGTCCACAGTAATTTTGTACTATTGAAATCGGGAAGAGATTTAAACATGTTACTAAAAGGAATTCCTTTTTTTTCTCCAAATGAAGCTTTTAAATGAGAAATTTAGTACTAGTCATTTCCAAGTCAACTCCAAAATACACCCTGAAATAAAGAAGTCCACGTTTTGACAGGAAGAAAAGCAGGTCCACGTTTTCATGTAGGGGTCAAGCGTTACCCAAAGTCCACAGTTCACCACATCGAGCCCTCGGTTACATTAAAGTCCACAGTAATTTTGTAATATTGAAATCGGGAAGAGATTTAAACATGTTACTAAAAGGAATTCCTTTTTTTTTTTCCAAATGAAGCTTTTAAATGAGAAATTTAGTACTAGTCATTTCCAAGTCAACATTATCAAAATACACCCTGAAATAAAGAAGTCCACGTTTTGACAGGAAGAAAAGCAGGTCCACGTTTTCATGTAGGGGACAAGCGTTACCCAAAGTCCACAGTTCACATCATTGAGCTCTCGGTTACATTGAAGTCCACATTAATTTTGTACTATTGAATCGGAAAGAGATTTAAACATGTTACTAAAAGGAATTCCTTTTTTTCCAAATAAATTTTTAAACGAGAAATTTGTACTAGTCTTTTCCAAGTCCACATCAAAATACACCCTGAAATAATGAAGTCCACGTTTTGACAGGAAGAAAAGCAGGTCCACGTTTTCATGTAGGGGACAAGCGTTACCCAAAGTCCACAGTTCACCACATCGAGCCCTCGGTTACATTAAAGTCCACAGTAATTTTGTAATATTGAAATCGGGAAGAGATTTAAACATGTTACTAAAAGGAATTCCTTTTTTTTTTCCAAATGAAGCTTTTAAATGAGAAATTTAGTACTAGTCATTTCCAAGTCAACATTATCAAAATACACCCTGAAATAAAGAAGTCCACGTTTTGACAGGAAGAAAAGCAGGTCCACGTTTTCATGTAGGGGACAAGCGTTACCCAAAGTCCACAGTTCACATCATTGAGCTCTCGGTTACATTGAAGTCCACATTAATTTTGTACTATTGAATCGGAAAGAGATTTAAACATGTTACTAAAAGGAATTCCTTTTTTTCCAAATAAATTTTTAAACGAGAAATTTGTACTAGTCTTTTCCAAGTCCACATCAAAATACACCCTGAAATAATGAAGTCCACGTTTTGACAGGAAGAAAAGCAGGTCCACGTTTTCATGTAGGGGACAAGCGTTACCCAAAGTCCACAGTTCACAACATCGAGCCCTCGGTTACATTGAAGTCCACAGTAATTTTGTACTATTGAAATCGGGAAGAGATTTAAACATGTTACTAAAAGGAATTCCTTTTTTTTCTCCAAATGAAGCTTTTAAATGAGAAATTTAGTACTAGTCATTTCCAAGTCAACTCCAAAATACACCCTGAAATAAAGAAGTCCACGTTTTGACAGGAAGAAAAGCAGGTCCACGTTTTCATGTAGGGGTCAAGCGTTACCCAAAGTCCACAGTTCACCACATCGAGCCCTCGGTTACATTAAAGTCCACAGTAATTTTGTAATATTGAAATCGGGAAGAGATTTAAACATGTTACTAAAAGGAATTCCTTTTTTTTTTTCCAAATGAAGCTTTTAAATGAGAAATTTAGTACTAGTCATTTCCAAGTCAACATCAAAATACACCCTAAAATAAAGAAGTCCACGTTTTGACAGGAAGAAAAGCAGGTCCACGTTTTCATGTAGGGGACAAGCGTTACCCAAAGTCCACAGTTCACCACATCGAGCCCTCGGTTACATTAAAGTCCACAGTAATTTTGTAATATTGAAATCGGGAAGAGATTTAAACATGTTACTAAAAGGAATTCCTTTTTTTTCTTCCAAATGAAGCTTTTAAATGAGAAATTTAGTACTAGTCATTTCCAAGTCAACATCAAAATACACCCTAAAATAAAGAAGTCCACGTTTTGACAGGAAGAAAAGCAGGTCCACGTTTTCATGTAGGGGACAAGCGTTCCCCAAAGTCCACAGTTCACCACATCGAGCCCTCGGTGAAGCTTTTAAATGAGAAATTTAGTACTAGTCATTTCCAAGTCAACTCCAAAATACACCCTGAAATAAAGAAGTCCACGTTTTGACAGGAAGAAAAGCAGGTCCACGTTTTCATGTAGGGGTCAAGCGTTACCCAAAGTCCACAGTTCACCACATCGAGCCCTCGGTTACATTAAAGTCCACAGTAATTTTGTAATATTGAAATCGGGAAGAGATTTAAACATGTTACTAAAAGGAATTCCTTTTTTTTTTCTCCAAATGAAGCTTTTAAATGAGAAATTTAGTACTAGTCATTTCCAAGTCAACATCAAAATACACCCTAAAATAAAGAAGTCCACGTTTTGACAGGAAGAAAAGCAGGTCCACGTTTTCATGTAGGGGTCAAGCGTTACCCAAAGTCCACAGTTCACCACAGTGGCGGATCCAGGGGGGCGCCCCCCCCCCCCCCCCCCTGGGCACAAAAAAGAAGGAGAAAAAAAGTGGGACAAAAGGAAGGGGAAAAAAAGGGGGAAAAAAGAAGGGAAAAAAAAGATGGGAAAAAAAAAGAATGAAAAAAAAAGAGAGAGAGAGAAAGAATAGAAGGGAAAGAAAGAAGAGGAAGAAGAAAAGAAAAGGAGATCGGGGGCGAAAGGGCCTCGCCTCCCAGGCTGTTGCCTCCCCCCCCCCCCCCCCCGCAATCAAAAAAATAAGAGAGAAGGAAGGAAATGGAAAGAAGAAAGGAAAAGAGGAGATAAACGGAAGGAAAATTGAGGAAGAAGAAAAGAAAAGAAGGGGGTATCAGTTGCAATTTTCCCGCCAACAAGTTGTGTTTCGGGGTGGGGTGAGGCAAAACGCCCTTGCTCCCCCCCCCCCCCAGCAAACCTAAAAGAGAGAGAAGGAAGGGAAGGGAAAGAGGAGAGAAAGGGAAAGAAATAAAGAGAAAGAAGAAAGGTAAGGGAGATCAGTTGCGATTTTT